CCGTCCTTTTATGTGCCTTAGCCCTCACTGGTGTGCTCTCTGCAATAAGGCAGGGGAGAGTGTGGACCACCTTCTCCTCCATTGCCCTTTCTCCATTAATTTGTGGGAGACCTTACTGAAGGAAGTCAATATGGTGTGGGTAATTCCGAAAGGCTGCTTTGATCTTTTCTCCATTAAATTCGATGGGCCGGGAAAGGGAAAGAAAGCTAAAATTCTCTGGGGTAGTCTAATGCAGGCTGTGATCTGGAATCTATGGCTGGAACGTAACCGGAGAATTTTCGAGGATTATAAGGGAGTGGGAGTAGTTGAGTTATGGGATAGGGTGAAGTTTTGGGCTGCCCTTTGGGCTTCTACTTCCCTCGTTTTTAAGGATATTCCCTACCCTATTATTATGCGCAATATGCTGGCGGTTGTCTCCTAGGGGCTTTCCTTTGTTTTGCTTGTTTTTTGTTTTCTGGGTAGCTAGGCCTTGTGATTGTTTTTGGCTTGGCTCGTTTGTATGTGTTTTGTTCCTTTCTATTTTGAATACAAATTGTTTCTATTAAAAAAAAAATATCCTTATCTTGTAAATTTATATCAATGATAAACTGTATATTGTACTTTTCTAATTAGTAGCAACCAATGTCATCATAGTAAGACAAAATAGAAAGGTGAAGATACAGAGAAATCCATATATCACAAACAACTTCAAATGTGTTACTATGTATACTTTTAAGACCAGTAAGTATACGACATAATCATATGAAAATGGAAACTCAACCACGTCGTATTTATAATTCTAATTTATGAGCAAGTAAACCACTGTATGGGTGAAAGCATAGCTAACATTTCCACCGCACAAAAAGATTAAATAAGAAACAAAAACTTGAAAAACATAGGCTGATATTTTTTGAATGTTTACCTCAAGCACTGCACATAGAGTCGGACACCACGGATCTGAAGGCTCTGTGAAACATAAAGAGGCAACAAACTCTTCGGAAACAGTGGTAGAAGAACCACCAACATCAGTGTACGTGAATTTAGAAGAAACAAACTTCTGAAACCTGACAGAGTTTTTCTCCTCTCCTCCATTTGTAACCAAGTAAATCAAGCTCCCTAGTACAGAAAGAAGAAATTGGGTTTTCTCCACTAGCATAGTAGGGTCAGCCAAGGCCAAGACTAACATACAACATCTTAGAAGCAGAGGTAGTTCATCAGCAGTGGCAAACATATCTGTGTCGCATTCTATGTGCTCCTGCCCTCTACTTGCAAAAACATCACATAAAGCAGAGAAGAAGAGTTTAAACCTCCTATCAAGCTCTTCAAACAAAACATTAATCAAGTTATGTATATCCTCAAGTTTCCCTTCAACCCCACAATGATCGAAAGCGCCTTCAAAATTAGAACAACGCATCGGTTCGTTTAAAGACAGTGTAACTAGTAGGAAGTACAATCTTTTCAAAAGCGGCAGCTTTGGACCCTGAAATTTAACACATTATTATCTATGTAAATATAAGTTCATATCCGTACAAAAGCAGCACATATCCAAGAAGTTTCAACAACAAAGCAACACAAAGCCGCTTGTTTCGACCAAAAAGGAACAAACTTGTTAGATTAATTTCCCAATTGTTTTTTCAATTCTCTCACATTTGGTCTCTAAACCTACAACCCATTACTCTGGGCACTCTATCCAAAGAAAACGCTTAAGAACTTGTGAGAAGTGAGCCGTAAAACTCCAAAGAAGAGTAGGAAACGACAATGCAAAGTAAGATGGAGTACCTCAAGGGCTTGAATTGCAGAGATTAGGGTTTGGAAGGTGAGAGGGGGAATGTGACTGGGAGTTGGCGTTTCTTCCATTGCAGGGCTGCAGCTCTCTCTGGACCTCTTTCTCTTCGAACCCATCTCTATGCTGTGCGAGAAACGCACAGAAATCTCAGAAAGTGGTCGACTTCACTTACAGTTTGGCGGGAAATTAACACCAGAAAAATCGGAAAAAAGAGAAGGAGAAAGCTTCCACTTCGGGGCCTTTCGCTCTCTTTTTTGGGTTTAGTTTAGGGGAATTGGCTGTTCTACCGTCGTTAAATATGGTTTCTTTTTTGAGATATTTAGTCATATACCTATTTTTAGCATTAAAACTATAAATATATTCTACACTGTTTAATTTCTATAAATAAACTTAAAAAAACTCAAAAAATGATAGTTGGCTCTATTGAATTTAATTTTGATTATTAAATTACTTTGATGCCCTATTGATATTGAATGTTTTGAGCTTTTTTATGAGGTTTTGGAGTTGGATTTGTTTTAAGAAATTAATGGCAGTTTTGTAATTTAAAAGAAATTAAAAGTCGTTTTGTTATGTTGTAAATAGGTTTTGGGTGTGTTTCTAAAGTTCATTTCATATAATGTTTTTTTTATAATTTGGGCTCCTATATTGGGTATGATAGTGAATCTCCCTTTTTTTTTCTTTCTTTTTTTTGTGTTTGGCAAAAAGCCATTTTTGATTCCTGTTGTTTACGTCCTTTATAATTTTGTTTTTGTAATTTCAATTTTGTTTTCGTAAACGACACCTAACAAGTTCTGTCAAATTACTTTTAATTTCTTCTAAAATACCCCTCTATACATACTTACTTCCACACATAATTGGACATAAATCTGAACATGTTCTTTTGCAAGAATATCCAACTGAAAGTCCAATTACCATAATTGAAACCGCAAAGACAAAAATGAAAATTCAAATTCAAAGAACATAGTTCAAGATAAATTCCTGTGACAATGGTTTCAATAAATACTATAGAGACTTCTGTTATCAAAAAGAAAAAAAAAACTCAAACTAGATCTCTCATATTATCACGAGAACTTAAAGTGCCAACAATTAATAAATTAATATGGCGTTATTGAGATTCCTCAATTAGAATTGTTAATTTTTAGGTCCTTAAAAGAAAAATTCTTGTGAAAATCATTATAGTTAGATGACTAAACGCTTTTCAATTTGGTTGCGGTTTCGACTAAGCTATTGTTATAATTTTAAACAAAAGTTAATTTGTAGATATATCGAGCTGCTTAATCCTCTTCAATGTGGACCACATAATAGCACCCCTCTTGTTGTAGGTGAGGACAAGTCATGTTGTCACAAAATAAATAAATAAAATTCATTAATATATGAACCTGCTTAGATTTTTATTCTGAACCACATAAACGAGGCCATGAAATTCCAACTCCTAAAACAATCCCCTCAGCAACAACATGACCAAAAAGTAATTGTAAAAAACCACAGAGCACCTTCTTAGCCTCCCTTTTCCATGGCTTTCACAGCCGCTCCTCAGGCTTCACACACTTTCTTACTTGGGAGCCCAACAACAGCAGCAGCAACAAGAAGAGGAGCAAGAAGAGCAACAACTAGAAAAGCAACAACCCATGTCAGATTACACGTGTCAGCATCACAAGGGCCAAGCAAGCCTGAGAGGGCCCCACCAGGAGTTGATACAAGAATCCATTGGGAGAATGAGGATGAAGGTTGGATTGGAGGAAGCAGTGCAAGTAGCAGCAGCAAAGCACAGCAGGCACAAGCAGAGCAAGAGCAGCAGAGCAATCTCTTGGAAGACAAGTTTGCTGATTTGCTGAATGACTCAATTTCTGATTCTCATTACCAGTGAGTCTTTCAAGTTGAATAAGTATTTTTATTATTTTAAACATTGAATTTTTTTTTTTTTTCTATATTTAACTTGGCAATTATGTGTTTCAACTTGATAAATAATTAAATAAAACCCAGCTTTGAAGAGATACAATAGTTCAAGGAATTGCAATTTCATGAGTGATTCATTATATCTGTGCCTTTGTTTTGAACTCATTCACTCTCAACTATTCCTATATCCTTCTAATACCGAATTTCAGAGAGAGATTTGAGGCAATTCTTCAAGATTTCGGAGAGATTTGATTCATTAAAATTTCATCAGGGGTTAACTTCTTGTGCTAAGATAGTAATTACTACCATACAGGGCAGATATAGGTGAAGTGTAAATCATAAAAGCAGGATATTAAACCTGAATTATGCATTATTATTATGTGTGTAATTAAGTCACATGCATGAAGTACAACCACTAGATGTGTATAGTACTCTTACTCATTGTAAATTGTAAATGGCATCAATTTTGGTCAGGTTCTTAGGAGTATCAGCAGAGGCTGATCTAGAAGAAATCAAAGCTGCTTACCGAAGACTATCCAAAGAGTACCATCCAGACACCACTTCTCTTCCCCTAAAGACTGCGTCCGACAAGTTCGTGAGGCTAAGAGAAATTTATAATGTGTTGAGCAACGAAGAGACCCGTAGATTTTACAACTGGACACTTGCTCAAGAGGCTGCAAGCCGCCAAGCAGAAATAATGAGAATGAAGTTGGAGGATCCTTATGTGAAAGAAGTAGAGAAGTACAAACCTGTGCCGGACATGGTTGATCGTCTAGGTGGAAGGAACATGGCGCTGGGCGATCAAGCAATGACTGCTCTCACCATTGATGTTTTCATTATCATTTTTGCTATTTGTTGTATCATATTTGTGATCTTCTTCAAAGAGCCATATTACTAGATAGCTTGATAAATAGCTTAGAAACATAGCTTATGGCTAAAGTAACTGATATAAGTACACATTATTATTCAAGAAAAGTGCACATTAATCTATTCTTATAGAAAATTGGTATATTGTAGTTATGTTTTACATGGTTTACCATACATTTTACTTATGTATACCCATTTCATAGAACACAGCACCGATAAAAAGACACATGGTAACATTATGATTAAAACTTAGAAGATGTTTGCTGATGAGGAACCCAACACTGAAGTAGTGTTGCTTTTAGCTTCGCCTTGTCACCATCAACAAGGGGAGAGAAGAACTCTGAGAGTACACTTAAAATGCCATCTAAACCAAAATCTCCAAAACCTCATTAAATTATGAGTGATTCAATAGTTTACACTTAATGAATCTGGAACGTTATTCCGAACACAAAAATAACAGAGCAATACGCCATTCAAAAACCATACTCCAAATTAAAATATATCAAGTTTAGGGGTGTCTTGTCCAAAAGAAATATCATACTGCACCACCAATCAACATCAAGACTAAGTTTACAATGTTATAGCAAAAACAAATCCCTCTGAAAAATATTATACCTGCTCCTTTCTCCCCACTTTTTGTTCTTGGTCAACTGCTCTACTTTTTCTGAAAGACAAGTGTTGCAGCGGAGATCATCTCGGGTTTTTTTCTCAGTACTACATCTTCTTCTTGCTTGGATGAATAAAGAATTACCATTTTCTTCAAACTCTGAATATGCTCCAGTATATACTTTGCTAACTTCCATTCATTAGTACCATTTGAAAGCTCTATTATTACCTCTTGAAGCTCATGCATGCAAGCAAGGTTATGGGATCCCCAGCAGCTCGTATTATACCTGGATGACTGGAAAGGCTGCAAGCAAATCAATTGAATTTTGTTAGAAACATATTCATAAAAACATAAGGAAAGAAAAAATACTTTATTATTCGACCAAGATCAAATGCATCTCATTCAAGAAATGTCTGTGTGCATGTGAGAGACAGCAAGGGCCAACATACAATACTATTGCTTACATTATCAGGAGCATCTAATGGCCGCCATTTTATGAAGGATGGATTAGAAGTTATGCACAATTTACGCAAAGTAGTCATTCCATTGAGAAGAGAGACCATTTTTGGGAATAGCTCGTCACTCAAGCTGCTAGTATGCAAACCCAAGTATGAAATACCATCTAATGTTGGCATGGGACTTTTCTTGCACAGAGCCTGCAATGTTTTGCAATGTTATAAAGGCTGAACCTCAACTAGGACAAGATAAGTGCCCTAAAGCGCAGGAATCAAAACAGAAACAAAGCTATCCCTTATCCAAAAAAAAAAAAATAGTAACAAAGTATAACTAAATACAATATATTTCCTGAAATCTAGATAAATGCAATGAATGATCATTTGCCAAATCTGTTGCATTTTTCGTTAACAACTTTGTTTTGTGGACATCAGTAATTCATAACTAGTACATATTTTCCTTTATAAAAAAAAAAAAAAAAAAAAAACTGGTACATATTTTCAATTTAGTATCATTAAAGACTGATAAATTGCATACATGAATTAAATAAAAAAAACTTCGGAATAATTATGAATTTACTTCTGTTTATATGAAAAAAGTATTCATTTTCCTTCTTGGTGATACTAGTATAGTGTATTATCACTGATAAAGTATGGAAAGTTAATATAATAAGCTCTGCATACATAACATCTAGTTTAAAGAAGATTACTGTATGAAGGATGGTAGTCACGCTTTACCTTCATGGTCTCTTCATTTAGAATAAGAACTTTACTCCTCCCAATGCTGCAAAGAACCTCAAATAGTTTATCAGACTCATCAACCTTCGGATACAGATAAATCTCAGCTTTTTCTAAACACGTTAAATTCCCCAGTTTCTGGTGATCCATCAAATTCCCACCCCATTTCAAATACTTCAGATTTGGAGCAAAAATATTTAATGATTTTCCGCTAAGTGAATCACATTGCCATTGTATATGTATATCTTCAAGTTTCTCACCGGATATGCCAAGATAACAGAGTGGATTTCGATCATAAAGCACAAAACTAAATGATTCCAAAGAAGAGCTTATAACGGTCATACGTTTTATGCCGGAAACATATTCAAGCTGTAATTGCTTAAGGAATTTACAGCATGGGATCCATTTGCCAAAAAGCTCCAAACCTTCTATTTGAACACTCTTCAACTTCAAACACTGGAGATTAGTCAAAAAATTGGAAGAGGGCCATTTAAGAATGTTCCAATGAAAATCTATCACTAAAGTTCTCAAAGATTTACAAGCAGAGATGGAAGACGGCAATAACTCAAATGGTGCTTTACACCGCGGATTGAAGTCAAGATCTAACACCTGGACATTACACCTTGCCGCATGACGGATCCATGTGGATATTCTGAGCAACTCGTTAAATTCTCTTGCAAAATGGACTGAACGGTAGTCCCAAGATATACGAAAGCACTCTATCTTATTACTATCACGATTAGCCAAGAACTTATCAAAATAGTTAAAGGCCTCCAATCGTCTCCACATGTTATTTCTTTGGTGGTGACTTGGATTAAAAATCAATGACGGATATGAAAGATAAAGCTCTAGACATCTTTTGGACACACAGCCCACCTGTCCGATGTCTTTGAAGGGGAGGAAGGAAAGAATGTGATGAGCAACTTCAACTGGAAGATCACTGAATCTATCAACAATGAACTCAGGACAAGCTCCTTGAGCTTGAGAGCTTGCAGTTGCCAGCATCTTACGCCTGTGGTCCATATCGAGGATCTCAAGGATTGTTGAAAGCAGGGGCAGATTTACACTAAACACAAATCACGCATTCGAAAATCACGAAACAGGAAAAACAAAGCCACAATAATAAGCAATAGAACAGGATTATACTCTTTTAACATTACAATTTTCTTCTACTTGGGCACACAAAACTACACTAAATTAGGAAACGTCTCAAACACTTATTAAAACTGAATTCAAAATCATTAGCTAAAAATCATAAAATTCAATATAACAAAAGTATATATATATATTTTTTTTTCTTCTTCTTCTTTCGTTGCTTTTCGTGGTTTTATAGGTTCCCACAGAGGGTCTACTGTTTATTAGCAGACTTTAGGGTTGAAAGAGACTGAGGGGCTAGAAAAATTTGGCCTTGCCTTCAAGAAATCGGGCTACTTTCTGCAGATTTTTGATTTGTCAAGTGGTTGTAGGTGAGCAAAACCCCCGCGCTCTCTCTGTGTTGCAGTGAATAGTGATGGATGAGTTTTCTCTTTAGGTTCTCTTTTTATACCTTTCCCTGGGCCGTTGATAGTACCAAATAATTTGGATTTTGGCCCAAATGAATTATTAATTTTGGTTTGGGTGATTTTCAGATAAGGACAAATCGAAGCAAATCGCTCAACATGGAGAAAATTAGTCGATGGTCATTCAAGCTCTCACGGTCTAACAAAAAAAACATACAAATCGAATTGATATTGCAGTCCTGTTCATTTAAGGACTTAACAATGAGGACATGCGAAGACCTTTTTTAAAAGGGTTTAAGTGAAGAAATTTGAGTTCATAATGATTAAGTAAGAGCGAGCTTGAGTTTCAGGGGATGAAACAATAAATAAGTCTTTTCTTTTTTACGGGTTGGAATAATTAAAAGGATCATGTGAGTAAAACAAAGAGCATGAGCGATGATTAAAACTATTAATAATATATGCTGTTAGTGAGGGTCAAACTAGTCAAGTGTGTGGTGTAACCAACTTTAAAGGAGCATTATCATTTAAATATAGCTCATTTTAGTCCTAAAATTCATGTTTGTGCTCAATAAGGTCATTCTTTTCAATTACAATTTCACAATAGGGGCCCGTCAAGGCGAGCCTTGTTGAGCAAAATACGTTAGCTTTACTTTGCCTCATGCGTTGATTGGTTGTATTTTGATGAATTATCTCTTTAAAGTAGGCCAGATTACTAATTTTAACAAAGATTTTGGCGGAATGAGATGATGGGCCAAATCGATGTGTGGACCAAAAAATTATCAAGGACCAATTGATTGATTTAAAAATTTGAGGACTTGTCAAACATTCAGGGACAACTCGTGAAAGAGAAACATAAGCCCCTTGTACTCCCCCAAAATTCCAATAAAAGTTAGAAAAATTTTAGATACTTGTGTTCACTTGTTCAAATGAAGGAAAATGCTTCCCTCCTTACTAGATAAATAGAAGTTCCTACATTCCAACTAATAAGAGTGCGACATGTGTCAAACTGTGATTCGCAAGAAGTAGGAGTATCTCCTTACCGGTAGGAAGGCAAGTAGTATCCTCAAATAAATTATTGGAAACAAAGTTCAAACCCGGTATTGGAATTTATTATCATGCTTGAAACACTTATTATAATTATATAAAAAACTGGTTATGATACTTGTGTTTTTGGTTTCCATGAATTTTCTTAAGGTGTGTATATGCAATGCAACCAATCCTTAGCGTTTACAACACTGTGCTACAGGAGCTGATTCGGTCAGTTGGACCTAATCTTCCATAAGTGAGAAAATGAATTCAAAAGCTTATTCGATTTAAGCAAAGAAACTTTACCACAAATATCAGTTCAACTGTGTTAGTATTGATTTTGTGATTGGCATTTCCTAGAGACAAATTAGACTAAGTATAGATTGTAAATTAGTTGTGATGGTGGCTGTCAAAATTCCAAGATATGCTCTGAAGGCTTATATGTCAACCAACGATCACTAAGGTAAATTATTCATTCAATTATGCATCATGATTGTGGTATTTCAAGCATTATTTCAAACTCACAATCTGATTAACATTTTGATTAAGAAGACTTTTTATTTTAAGAAAGATTAATTTATTTTATAAATTGTTTTCCAGTTTTGAACTTTAAAAGTCTTCTTTGATTGGAAATCAATTAGTCTGATTTTGGAAAATTAATCTGTTGATTAGGAACTAATTGATCTTGTTTCCAGTTTTGAAAACCTTTATAAAAAGCAAGGCTTGGTTTTCATTCTTTGTACAACTTTCAACGACTAGAGTATTTCTTGAGTTTTCATATACACAAAAGAAAGTTGTTGTGCTTTATTTTTCATAATGATAAATCATCAAGAGTAAGATTATCTTGGTGATTTATCTTTATATTCATATTGCATTCATTTGCATGTTCGGTGACTCATACGGTTGAGGGCACCAGGATCATTGTGGCGGTTTTTCTCCAGTGAGTTTGAATCGATTGTGACCAGTATCGAATTCAACATAAGGAGAGTTGGAAGAACTTCGGCGAGCTTGAAGCAATCGTGACCAGTATTGCGTTCAACATAAGGAGTGTCGAAAGATCATCTCGTGACAGAAGTTGAATTACGAAGAAGTTGGTACATTGTCTAGAGTGTCTAGGACCAGTTTATATACTTATTGTAATCATTGTTCTATAGTGGATTTGCCTTGGACTATCAGGTCCCGTGGATTTTCCCCAAAAGTGGGGTTTTACCACGTAAAATAACTTCTTTGTTTTTCTCTGTTTTTACGTTCTGTACTGTAGAGGATTGATACATCGTATCAATCCCTTTGGCGTGTTTTTATATAATACTATATTACTCTTGACTACTCAAAACGCATACTTTACTCTTTTAGTGTTTTAAGCCATCCTATAGGTATTTTCAAACTGTCCCAATTGTCAAAAGTCTAGCAATCAACCTTGATCAGATTCGTCCCCCAGATGTGACAAAATTTATATAGGTTGTTTGATGAGATAGATACACTAGCTGTGGTGGTGAAGCAAGCATGCATGGAACTAAGTAGAGAGAGAAGTCTTCAAACCAACCAATTTGTGAGGCATTCATTTGGTGGTGAAACAATGATAAACATTCTACATTTTAATTTCAGTTGCAGCAAACATGGCTAAAAGAGTTCACTAATTAGTTCAAACAAATATGATCCCGTTTTCTTTAATGGTATCAAGAACAATCCCAAGCTTACCTTCAATCCGTTCATCTTTCCTGGGCTCATAAGACAATGCATAAACATCAGCTTCCTTTGATCGCTCAGCAATAAGCCTCCCTATAACTCTGCATGCGTTGTGATCTGTGAGTGAGGGTAAGTTGCTCCGAACATCCTTGGCATTCGTGGTAGCGACTGATATCACTTTGCTTGTTCCCCGATGCATCACTTTTGCGTGGATAAACTTTTTTGAAAAGAAAACATTCAGTAAGAATGGCCTCATGTACATATCAGTCTTCTGTTTCCACGATTTCCTGTTAGGCTTCTTTGCAGCTTCTCCTCGAGATCTCCGGGTCCATGCAGCTCGAACAACAGAATTCTAAAATTACAAGTAAAATATATTGTAATTACAAAGGCAAAAAAATGGTGCCCAGCAGGTGTCAGCTCAACATTTTAAAAGGATTTCTAGTTATTCATTTTATGCAATGCATATTTCTAGGAACCTCAAAGAGTTCTTAAGGGGACAATATGACATAACAGTATGAAGGTGAAACCACACTTATTTACATTTTTTTGGGGCCACCAATTCATCTCATCCCATATCCCCAAAGAACAACAGAAATACATATACTAGTAAGAAAGGACTTGGCACATGTAAAACATATACAACAACAACCATCAAAAGGTTTTGTCCCCAGTTTATAAACAGTTAAGTTGTAGAATGTTCACGGCGTCAAGAGAGGGTAAAGTAGCCTCTTTGGACTGCCTGCAATTTGCTCTAGGACATGCCAAACATGTCCCCCTGTCCAAACAAGAATGCCTGGTCCTGCTATTGGCTAGGAGACCTTCCTCAAAGAGGTTCCACTGGATGGAGGATTTTTGGTAACAGAGTGTTAATTGAGTTTATCAAATTTAGACAATAGCTTATACTATAAGTCCACAATAGACCAAGAAAATGCTTCTTCACAAGAAAGCAAATAGGTTGCAACATCTACAATAATTTCCTTACTGAGCATCCCAAGAGTACTCATACAGCCACAATTTCAAGTTTCACCCTTTTGTGAGAGTGAATCCTTCTTAGCCTAAGTGACCTAAAATGAAGTGTTTAGCTACCCTGAGAAAGCTATACTCATCACATGACTTGAATTCCCAATATCACGTATTATTTAGAAATCAAGATTAAATACAGATAACCCACAAAACTCATTCATTCAAACCAGCACACTAATGGCAGATTCATAAAGCTCTGGTTTCCAAAATAATTGACTGTATCTAGTGTTAATATCTTCTCCAACATACAATTTCAGTAAAATCCCATTTCAGTGATACTGCAACCTCTTCAATTAAGCTTCACAGATTAAGAATTCAGAGTTATCTTCATATTTGTCTAAGATAAGGAATTTGAAAGATAACACATTTTTTCTGAGAATTGTCAAAAGGGTGGTTTGGGAGATTGGGAGAGTGTGTGTATTAATTACCTTGTTGAGAGTGGGAGTGGGAGGGTCTGCAATGGAGCTTAGGGATATGTTTACCAGAGGAAAAGAAGAAACCCATGACAGCGAAGCGGCTTTGAATGGCTGAGTCGACCGAGTTGGAAAGAACTCGGAGGAGAGAAGCGAACAACTTGATGGAGCTGAAGAAGAAGATATCGTTGACACCATCTCTGACGGGACCAGGTCGCAACACTGTCGCAGGCAGCAGGCTAATGGCTAATGTTTCGTTAGTTGTTTGTTCAAAAACGTATTGGGTCCCCAAAAAAAGGCTACTTTCTATATAAAAATGAAGAAACAGATATTAATGATCGGGCAT